TCATTTCAATTTTATAAATCCCCAAATTAAAATTATGCATGTATTATTAGTATTAAAAATAAAAATAAAATTTTTTTTATACAAATTAGTGAAAAGATATGTAATTTAATAATGGTATTAAGCTTTTTAAGAAATAATAAAATTTAAATTATAATATTGATTATTGTAAATTAAAATTAGAATCTTGATCAATGTAAATTAAAATTCTTATCTTAATTAATTATTACATTTGACATAAATTTAAATTTCAAAAATAAAATGTTGTAAAAAACAAAAATATATGTATTATATTTAACATTTTTCAAAAGTTTAGGAGGCACATGTCAATAGAGAAAAAGAACTCTGTTACTCTAGTTAACGGAATGTTCGTCAAGTAGACCATTTTGAAACAAAATTGATAGTTTATAAATCATTTTGAAAGAAAAAATTGTTTCTAGACTAAACTGAAATAAATCACATACCTAATATACTATTTATTAAATTTAGCCAAAAAATAATAACCTATATGATTTTCACAAAGTCTTAACTAATAAAAAAATGTTATTTTATAGTAAATTTGAGGAATAAGTTGGTTCAAATTTGACTTTTGAACAACTACAAAAAGTGAGAACAAATAGTTTTGTTCGATGGTTTAAAAAAATAATAACAAATGATTATATATTATTTTCTCAAATTTTTAATTAAATATTAAATATTACTAAATTAAAATTTTTTTCATATATAGGTGTTTAGTGGATAATATGAATCAGCAAACAACTTATCCACCTTATAGTTGGCCCAATCTTTGAAGTGAATATTTATAATGAGTTCTACGTAAACGGCTTCAGATTTTTACTAAAGAGTTTCCTAGTAATAGAAAGACATATAACTATAGTTTTTGTGTTAAAAAAACCACCATTAATTCTACAGATGAAACTAATTATTATGATGTCTTAAAAGAGGTAATCGAGTTATTATATTATCACTCAAGCCAATGGGAGATTGTAGTTTTGTTTAATTGTGATTGGTATGACACAAACTGATGAATAAGTGTGAATGTTAAACACAGAATTATTGATGTCAATCAAAGGTTTAAACTTTCAACGGGAGAGCCATTTTGCCTTTCTAGTCAAGCATAACAAGTTTACTATACTCCATATCCGATGGCCACGAATAGAACCTGGAGATGGTTGGCAACATGTAAAATAAAATCTAAACATCTAATTGACACCTCATCTACCTCATCTTCTTGAGAGATTGATGACATTTTTCAAGATGATGACCCCCTATAATGTAAGGCTCTTCATTGACTATAGATTTAATTGCATACCAATCACTTCAATTGCATGCACAAGGTATTACAAAAGTTGAGGTTGATGCTAATACATCCAAAGAAGATGACTATGGAGAAGAAAAAGATTCAAAATCCTCATGAAATAGTGATAATGTTAGGATGATGATAATGATGATTAATTGAAACATTTGTTATCACTAAAATATATATTATTACTCATTAAATATATGTATTAAAATTTATCTGTCTTATATATATTGTTTTATTAAGTTATATATTTTTCATTTAAAATAGAATTATTGTATGATTGTTCTATATTTATTGCTCATTATTTGTATACATGTATTAATAACTATTTTGTTATTCTTTTTTCAAGATGTCTAGAAATCCTGCAAGTTCGGCTAGGAGGAGATCTTCCTCAAGATCCTAGAGGTGGCATAGTCTTGATTAGCCATGGGTGTTTACTGGCAGTGGCATAGATCCTAATATACAGCAAACGATTGATCCATTAATGGAGGGTATGGATCATTTTACACTTGATCATAATAATTAGGGCCCTTCATCGTTGAAGAGAAAAAAAGGACGAGATAGGAATTTGAAAGATCTATGCCCTCCAAAGAATAAAGAGGGTAGGAAATGGGTTATGCTTACTAATGATAAGCTCTACTTTGTTGATCCATCCATTCCTCAAGCTATCACTGCCTTATGGAAGTCACGTTTTGATGGCCCGTATTTCACATATGAGTGTCTCCCTCATAGCAAGGTTACCAAAATTTATAATTATTTCAAAGTAAGATTAAGTTTTAGCAAATTTAATAAAATGAAAGGATTTAGCAATTTCTAATAAAAATAAATAATTTCATTACTAAATTAGAATTTATATTTCTCACACATCCAAGGTTATTTATTTCTTATTTTGCAGACAATTTACCAATGGGATCCTATAGATAATTGCCATGTATGATATGCATTCCTAAATTGTATTGAACATAGATGGAGTGGCAATCTTAGGGATGAGAGGTTGAGGTGGGAGAAGGACTCAACCTATGTCCCATGTTGGATCCCAGCTCATATATGGTCTCAACTGTTGACATATTGGAACTCTAATGAATATAAGATGCTCAGTGCAAAGGGAGCAAAGAACAGGAGTTCCAAGGAGAGGGTGACTCACACCACTGGGTCCATTAACTTTAGCATTCACGAGATGCGGATGATAATCAAGCTTGGTTAATAAAAAATTAAATATATTAAATTTTATTTAACAATAAATTGTATCAATTTATACTAACCAATATATTACATTATCAATATTTTGAAATACAAACTAAATCTAGAGGTGGTGTGCAACCTCCCCATCAAGAAAAGTTTAAGGAGACACACACCTTCAGAAAAAAGGTGGGAAAGGATCAAGAACTGGCATGGATCAATGAAAAAGCAAAGCATTGATACGTAAATATATATATAAAACATAAATTAGCATAAAATGTATAGTTATAAGTGTCAGAAAATTTTATTTGATTAATTTAAATTATTTAGCAAAGTCTAATTTTTTTATAGATTCTTTTTAAACTACTTTTAACAACATTATTATTATTATTATTTATTTTCAGAATACTTATGTTGCGGAATGCACGGAGAGCCATGGCTCTAATGCTAGTTCGTGGCCACACATGGATAATGAGGCATAGGTTAAGGCTATTGGAGGTTGCTCATCCAATTTCATGCCAAGGATTGACTCCTAAGTAAATCCGAAGAATGTTGGATTTACTTACAGAAAGAGACAACCTGGAGATAACTTGATAGCAACGATGATGATGTCTGACAAGGAGAAGGCACGCCAGAATGAGGTTATAACAAAACAACATGAAGAGTTAGAAAGGTAACACCAACAAATGGCTCTGATGCAATAATAGCTAGCCTAGATGACGCAAGCCCAAAATAATATGAGTCAGACAATTGCACAGTCTGTTATAGAAGCTCTAGTCGCTTATGGCATCTCCCCCCAGGCAAGTCATTATCCAATTACCTCACCATAGCTACCACATAGTCATGGCTTAGGTCTCCACATGAATACAACTTTCACTTACTCCACTTATTCTACATAGACCTTTCTTATGGTCCCTAAACATTAGTAGCAGCAGTAGTAGCTTCCATCTCAAGATGATGTATACCATCTTATTTTTTATCCAAACTATCGGGATCCTTAGTTTTTTTTTTTTTTTTTTTTTCTACTACGTACACTATCTTCACACTTTGCATGGTTGGCTTTATTTCTGTTAATAATTTAAACTACTAGATTCAGGTTTTCATTATGATATCTTTTGCTATTTTGCTTGACTTCCAGTAATCATACTTCAAAAGGTATGAAGTTTTGGACTTTTTTGGAGGTTAATTATTATGAACTACATATCATAGGCATTTAAGACAACGATGTGTGACTGCCATACTTTGTGGTTGTGATTGTGGTTCAAAAAGTATAATTGTTTTTAGCATGGTAAAGTTGTAGAATGTATGTGTTTTTCATTGCAAGTGCAGGTTCAAAAAAATTGGTTTTGATCATATGTATGGGGAAACTCTACCAAACTTTTTTTAGAATTTATGCCAACTATAATGACCAAAATGCAAAAAATCTATTGAATAACTTTGAAATTAAGTATCATAGGCATTATAGAGGTTGGTGGTTTTTGATTCAAACTTTGTGATTATATATTGAAGAGATATAATTGCATTTTTTATAACAAAGTTGTAGAATTGCAAATCTAGGTTTAAAAAATTAGCTTTTATCATACATATGGGGAAACTCTATCAAATTTTTTTAAAATTTATGTCCACTAAAATGATTAAAATGTAAGAAACTTATTGGATAAATTCAAAAAATCACATGAAAATGGACGAAATCTAGAAAGAAAGTTTTTGAGTTTGGGAATTTTACCACCAATGTGTACCAAGTAAGAGTTGAATTTACCAATAAGATACACGTCGATAATGTTGCAAATGCTTTTCACTTGCCAACATGCATCTTGTCGACAATGATCACTTCCCAACATGATTTTAGTTGGTAAAATGGTTAGACTTTTCCTCTTCAGGTGCCAACATGAAGCTGGTCAGTAATTTGGGCAGGATGGCAAAATTTTTGCTTTTTCGATTTCTACTTTGAAGCTAAGTTACCTATTTTGTTAGTAAAATAAATTCCAACAAAGCATGCATAGGTAAAATAGTCTATATATCACCACAACACTTTGACCCACTCATTTATTTGTATTATTAATAAATTTATTTGCAATTTTAAATTTTTTTTTAATTTTGTTTCCTAGGAAACATTGTTGGGAGATAATTATTGGGTACGTAAATTTTATTTATGTAAATTAACATTTAATTTCATTTATATTTTGATTATTATTATTTGGTTGAAATTATATATAAATACTAACCTAATTTATGTTTCTTTATTTTTTTAGGAAATGGTGTTCTGTAAATATTCACTCTATTGAGATAATCTTTAATTTTTTGGATTATGCAGTTATATTTTAAGTTTGTCATATTATTCTTATTTTTTAAATTATGTTTTAATCATTAATTTAATAAATAAACACAATAATTTTGTATTTGTACTATAAAATTTTAATATTATATATTTTTCATGATGTTATATAGAATAATGGTTACTTTTTCATTAACTCCCAACCCCACCCAACAAAATCCTTTCTTTCTCTCTCTCCTTTCCTATCTTTGCAATTGTAGTCAATTCTCAGACATCTCTGATTGTTCCCCTATTTTCTCAAATGGTCCATCGTTGTCACAATGCTTTTCCATTTCTCATGGATCGCCGAACAACAAGAAACTCTAAGGAAGAAGACTGTGTAGGAGTAGAGCAGAGACAGAGCAATCATCAATTGAAACAATGGAGAGAGAAGCATCAAACCCAGAAGCAGATTTGGCAAAAGGAACATGGCGTTGTAGGGCGGTGGTGCTGAAAGTAGATCTGTTGGAGGTGGGTTCGAAGGAAACCACACTGTTGAAGAGGAAGAAGAGGCTGCAGATGATTAGGATGAGGATAGAGGTAAGGAGGAAGATGGATGTGGTGAGGATGGTGAACAACAAGGGCTAACCTAGGCACCTTTAGAGTTAACGAAAAGTAATGAAGGTGTAATGGAGTGTATAACGAAAGAGAGTATATGTATCAATGTCCTATTAAATATTATGAATTAGGTAATATTTACTTGTAAATTAATTGAATTAAATAAAATATATATATTAATTTCAATATTAATTCAAGCAATTGTTTTTTTTTTTTTTTTAGCAAATTCTTTCACCAATGTTACCTTCATCGGTAACTTGATGCTTCAACTATGAATTTCCTTTTGGAAGCCTCTTGCACCAACATTATCTTCGTCGATAAGTTGCAGAACTGAAAAATGTTGTTGTACATTGCTGATTCACATCGGTAATTAATAAATTTCAGACACCATTCTCTTTCGTAAATTACCGACGTAGATCACCTTTAGAGGCATTGGCTGTACTTGGAGACGTGATCTTCATTGATAAATTACCGACGTGGATTACAAGAAAAGATCTCCAGTCACACTGTTCCGGCACAATGTTGGAGATGTGTTGCTTGTTAGTAATTGGGAGTCATCTTACCAACATAACTTTAATCCACGTCAGTAAATGAATTACCGAGGCAACTTTCACCAACAAAGCAATCACTGACATGATTGAGGTTGGAAGCTTGTTTTACCAACGTGATCCCCTTTCTTTTCGACATGATTTCTCTTCAATGAATTAATGAGTTCTAGTAGTGACATACCACAATTTTTTAAGGAAAAAAATTATTGTAATTAGCTTATAACATTGTGGTTGTTAGTTGTTATGAATCTAAAAAGCTTTGTAAACAATTCAATTAGTTCAATAGAAATTTTTTCTAATAAAGTAAGATGTATTTAAATTCAAATTAGATCACATATGAGTGTCGTGAGTGAATGAATAAGAGATTATTGACTTTCATTGTACAATTCAAATTAAAAATAAGAAAAAGAAACTCTCCATTATTATTCTTGTTATTTTTTTTCTTGATTAATTAGTATTAAAGAAAATTCTATTTTTGGTTTGGGACTTCATTATCGAATGAAAAATGCCACACGTATATTGTCTTAAGTACAATGTTTATATACAATATGACATGTGTGTCCTTCTATGATTATTTCTTTTCATTTTGATGCATCATACATGTTACTTTTTACATTTTTTTTTTTTTTCACTGGTTTACAATTGCAAGGTGAGGGGTTCGAACCCCAACTGTTATGCTAAGGAAATGCACTTTACTAGATGGCACATAGCCATTGGGCCACAAGGCCAAGATGCTTTTACATCTACTTATTTAACCTTAAATCCTACTCAATAAAATATTATGTGGTATTGTATTTGTAAGTTGTAACATTACATTATGAAACCGTTTTGGCTTTTCATCTCTTAAAAGAAAATGTTGCTATAGCCGGATATATTGGCCCAAGTCCCTCAGAAAGCCCATGAACCAATATGCTCTGATCAAGCCCAACAAACAAACCGAAACTAAAATCCGAGAAGGTAAACACGTTTATATAATTATATATATTGGAGAAAGCCCATAAGCTTGTAACTATGGTCCATGGTTGCAAGAGCCATTAGCAGTGAATTAAATTTCCAATGAAATCATGGAAAAGAAAAATGAGCCATTTATTAAACTTCCGGATCTTATATTAATAATTTTTATGATTACAACAAGGTCCAATATTTAAGAGTGGGTTATTATCATATTCTAAATAGTTAATATCATACTCTTTTAATATAATTACCTACATCACCCAATATTTAATTCCTTGCTTGTATTTTTATATCAATTTTTTTGGCTATCATCAAGCGGGTGTTAAATTAACCAAATTGGATCAAATAAAAATTTTTTGGCTAACTGAAATTTTTGTTAAGATGTATGTGTTTTGAAATTTGAACTGAAGTATATTATGAAATAAATTTTAATTAACTAAAATATTTATGTTCAGTTTGGTTGGGTATAAAAATTTATTGAATTCAAGTTTTGATTTCTTAATAATTTTTCTCATAGATTAATTTTTTTTCCTATGTTTAGAACTTTTTCCATGAACTTCTCATAAAAATAATATTTCCAATGTTATAATCCGTAAAAAACAATAGAAAAAAGTGCTTAGCACT